GTTCTCTGTGTTCGTCAGTTTGATCCGAATCGTCAGCAGTGTGCAACAACAACAGTAAAAGAAGTGGGGTGATGCAGAGAACCATCTTCAAAGCATTTGGACCAAGGAGCTCGTTCTTGTCGAGGCTGTCTCCAACATATACAAATACGATGGCTATGTTGGGTATCAAGGCACAGATGATATACAGATCCCAGACATAAAACAATCTGCGAAGTTTTGCATTGGAAGCGATGAGACAGAGCCATACGATCACTGCTGGCGCGAATGAAGTCGCCAAGACGTACCAGTGGGAATTTTTCTTGTAAGTGGCCAGATAACCAGCTAAAAAGAAGCACTGAATTATTATCAGAGCGAAAAAAACTAGGCGCGCTACACACTTACAGAACGAAGCCATGACTCTTCTCGATAGCGAGAGAAGTTTTGCAAGCAAAATGTGCTTACTAAGAATCAAAGACGTTGAAGGAAACACTATATAGACCTTATTTACGTCATGATACGTACAAAGTTAGCGAATCAGGTAGCGACACATCGCAAAATGCTAATAGACTAAAAGGGACTTACCCCAAAGAGGTTTACGAAGGCCACGAGCACGAAGATATCAGTTGACAGGATGGATGTGTTGTAGCGCAGCGTCAGCGATATGGAGCGAAATTGACGCTGCATGAAAATTAGATGACATTAACAACAGTTCATGTATCTGCGACCAACAGCATTTTAAAAGATTAAAATAATACAATTTCTGCCGTTTAAGGCAATGTACTTAGCTCTAAACCCTTGTCACAGATTTAATTTAGGAAAGCTTTTCCGGGAAATCAACAGAAACAGCACGTGCTTTCATTTTCCGAGAAAGAGTTACGCATAATAATGTTTGCATAATTCAATTATTATGAAAGCAAATCGGACAGACGCAAATAGACCTAAAGGGAAACTACCTTCTTAAGGGAAAATTTTCGCTTTTCATTTTCGAAATCGCGAAACTTTGAGGAAGAGATAAAAAGTGGCCTATTCGATAAAGAAATTTGAAACGAATTCCCCAAATTTGCGCGAATTAAGTGTCGCGAGATGTCGCTCTTCCAAAATCGTGAAATTACGTTTCCGTAAAAATTTCATTTGACGATATGATCTAGGCATTGTTCTGTCGTTAGTCATATTCATGAGAATTCTTATGACGTTGGTTTGTTCTCCTTGTCATCTTGTTTAGCCCGCGTTTAGCACTCTTTCCCAGTTCTTACTCTTATTTTATTCACTTCTTCCCCGCTCTTACTCGTTCACAGGCTACAGCCGCGATTTAGTGGTTGAGACAAATCTAAATCCCAACAACTAAGAGTGAGCGAACAAAATTTTCTTTTGAGGAGTGTGTCCTCTACCGCTTTTAGGAGTTGAACTGTAAATGTTAGTCTTTGCGAGAAGGCGAGACTAGCGGTGTTCTTTGCGAGCCGGCGACGAGAATTTAAAGTGCGTTAAAAAAACAAACAAACAAACAAACAAACAAATCGAGACCTCGAGACTTTTAATATTAGCCTTGCAAAATGCGGGACCCCTTGAGAGCTTTGTGAAAAAAAAAAAAAAGAAATGATATTGCGAAACGCGTGCACATAAACGCTTAAAAAAACGAGACTGGGAGACTCCTGAAATTCCACGAAAATTTTTCGAGTCTGTGGATTTAGAATTACCAAAGGACAACAACTTGCATTTCGTGGATTTGATCTCACCTTTAAGGTTGCATTAATGTTTCACTCTTTTGTTCTGCTTAGACTGATTCCTGTGAAGTAATTTCATTGCTCGAGAAACATTTTTTTTTGGTTATGTCGGTGAAGCTTGCGAATTACGGTAAAATAAAGCAACAGGAAAAATGATTTGTTTATGTCCGATCAACAAAGAACCAACGAATTAACTGAGGTTTTCTTTTTGTTTCAATTGTCTGTCATTTGGAAGGAGATTGGACAAAAACAAATCTTATAGCTTAAATTGCCTGCTGTTATAACCACATAAATCGTATCTTGAACTATGAAAATATTCTGTTTGGCCGTAAATAAACTTTTCAGTTTGACTTACTTGCTGGTATGGCTGCTGGTATTGTTTATATGCGAACCTGTTAAACTCTTTTAAACAGAAACTTAATTAATCTGACACATTTTATTAAAAACAACTCGGATGGGAAATATTCATTTTATTCGACGAATCACTGGCATGTTTCCAAAAGAGTGGTATCTATGTCTAGTTCCTTAAGAAAGACGAAATCGTAGCGAACTGTAGGAATGAAACGTTTTACGAATACTTCTCAAGAAACGGATGCCAGAAAGAACGCTACCTAATTAAGATTCGAGGTACGAGCTTTGACAAAATGTCAGTTTATTTGTTGATTATTTTATAAGTAATTTCCAGATGCCAAAATTAAAGAAAAACTGACGTGATTTAGAACTGAGATAATTAACCCTTCTGCGGTGAAAAGCAACCACAATTTACCGTTCGATCACCAAAACGAGCTGTGTCTATCTGCCTTGGTGTATCTTTGTGTTGTGACAACCAGTGAGCGTCATAAATGGCGTTATCATGATCCGTCTGCCGTCCAATAGCATTAGAGTCAACAGTCAATTCTCAAATAAGATAGCCTTCAAACGTCAAATAAGAAAAAAAATATTCATATTTTCAGTCATCAAACAACCGAAAATTCAACAGTCAACCGTTGCTAAGGTACATTTTCAAACCGTCAACCATCGAAGCGTGACGGTACTCCTAATTGAGAGCCTAATTCAATAGCGAATCCTGATACAGATATTTACTACTCAATTGTACTTGGTACATCTACAGCTGAAGAAGAGGCGAGGACGCAACGAAACCACATTTAGTCCTTCAGAGGAAGCTGGCGGGATGCGGGTAGCAGTGACACTATTGCCGACTTTGTTTTTCTCCGTGGTGGTTGTCCCATCAAGAGAAGAGAAGACAGACTCTGCAGCAGGTATGATCAAGGACTAGTTGACAAATTTATAAATTTGTCAACAAACTCTCATCGATGGTACTGAAAAGAATGCATGACCTGTTAGACGCAAAATTAAACGTCGACGAGAGTTCCATATTAACAAGTAATTAAGTCATTCACCTTTGATGTTGTTGTGATCGTTTCAACTGATGATGACTTTTTGGATTTTCAAATTCATTTACCTGCAGTTCTTTTATGATGATTTCGTCTTACGAGAAGGCAATCATCTACACAGAGGCTTCGTTAAACACATCTCACTGATATCCCTATTAAGGAAGCGAGAGTTGAGAAGAACGGTGAAAGTAACTCACAAATACCGTGAATATCTGCTGTGTTAAAGTTGTTCGTTATTTCGTGGCTTATTATTAGAGTATGAAACAAGATGGGATAAATTTTGTTCTAAGAAAATTGTTTTGTTCTGGTTTAAATTTCATTTAAAACAAATTCAACCGAAATAGACCAATTTCGACGTACCGTAACAAAATTCAGCCTAACAAAATAGACCTCAAAACGAGGCTCTTGAGAATAAACCACACAAACTCTATAGTTATTCCCAAAAACCTCGTGATGGGTTATATTGTTTCAGGCTGAATATTAAATATCGAAATTGGTCTATTGTGGGAAGGTAGTACCTTAGTGAATTTCTGTCAGGTCGACATTTCTCACAGGATCATCCGATAACTAAAAACCGTACTTTAGTCACCCGCATCGATCAGATTAATGGAGTTCTCCAGCTTGTCGACCTGACATTATATCACAAACATTATTATATGGTCTAGTCGTCTTTGGCCCCCGTTCTCGCTTTACATTCCCAAAGACATTTAATAATAGTTGCAATAACCAGTCTTAGAAAGTGAATCGCGGTGGAGGGCATCGCAAACAATTTTTTAAGTCGATGGTAGCCGCCAAGGACTGTATTGGGTGTCGACCACATTATTGGCCAAACAGATAACCGTGAATAAAAAATGATAATAGTAATTATGAAAATAAAACATGACAGCGCGCAGCCGCAATTAGACCTCTTCCACGGTTGTTTCAAAAAATTTGCTTGGAAGATAACACAAGAATTCATTGTTTGTATGGTTTTGTTTTGTTTGTCTGTATATTTTTAACGGAAGCGCTGTCTCCCGTAATGGCAAAGTTTGTTGTAAAGATGTTATNGGTAGCAGTGACACTATTGCCGACTTTGTTTTTCTCCGTGGTGGTTGTCCCATCAAGAGAAGAGAAGACAAACTCTGCAGCAGGTATGATCAAGGACTAGTTGACAAATTTACAAATTTGTCAACAAACTCTCATTGATGATGCTGAAAAGAATGCATGAAGTGTCAGACGCAAAATTAAACGTCGACGCGAGTTTCATATTAACAAGTAATGTTGTTATGATCGCTTCAACTGATGATGACTTTTTTGATTTTCAAATTCATTTATCTGCAGTTCTTTTATGATGATTTCGTCTTACGAGAAGGCAATCATCTACACAGAGTCTTCGTTAAACACATCTCACTGATATCCCTATTAAGGAAGCGAGAGTTGAGAAGAACGGTAAAAGTAACTAACAGATACAATATCCGCTGTGTTAATTTTATGATATTTTCAAATTAAAGTTGTTCGTTATTTCGTGGCTTATTATTAGAGTATCAAACAAGATGGGACAAATTTTGTTCTAAGAAAATTGTTTTGTTCTGGTTTAAATTTCATTTAAAACAAATTCGACCGAAATAGACCAATTTCGACGTACCATAACAAAATTCAGCCTAACGCAATAGACCTAAAAAAGAGGCTCTTGAGAATAAACCACACACTGACTCTATAGTTATTCCCAAGAGCCTCGTGTTGAGTTATATTGTTTCAGGCTGAATATTAAATATCGAAATTGGTCTATTGTAGGAAGGTAGTACTTTAGGGTCTTGAAGTGAATTTCTGTCAGGTCGGCATTTCTCACAGGATCATCCGATAACTAAAACCGTACTTTAGTCACCCGTATCGATCAGATTAATGGAGTTCTGCAGCTTGTCGACCTGATATTATATTACAAACATTAGTATATAGTCTAGTCGTCTTTGGTCCCCGTTCTCGCTTTACATTCCCAAAGGCATTTAATAATAGTTGCAATAACCAGTCTTAGAAAGTGAATCGCGCTGGCGGGCATGCGTAAACAATCTTAAGTCGTTGGTAGCTGCCAAGGACTGTACTGGGTGTCGACCACATTTCTGGCCAAACAGATAACCGTGAATAAAAAAAATAATAGTAATTATCAAAATAAAACATGACAGCGCGCAGCCGCAATTAGACCTCTTCCACGGTTGTTTCAAAAAAATTGCTTGGAAGATAACACAAGAATTCATTGTTTGTATGGTTTTGTTTTGTTTGTCTGTATATTTTTAACGGAAGCACTGTCTCACGTAATGGCAAAGTTTGTTGTAAAGATGTTATGCAGCTGTTCCTCAAGCAATCGCGTTTGACTGAGAAATTAGCTAGTTTTCGGTTTCAACTGCGTGAAAAATAAAATTTGAATTTTTTATCTTCACTTAGCTTAGGCGATCCAAAATCAGTTATTTACATAGAAAAATATACATGAATAAAATGCCGGCACAGACTGTAAATAACATCTACCTGTCAAAAGAAATGTACATCAAGTTGGAAGGCGAAAGATATACACGAGCTCCACACTTCGATTTTGCACGATTAGTTTAAATATTCCTACATTCTCTTCGTCAAGCCATATTGTATTTACAATGGAGAAAACAAATTGTCATTCGATGCAAGAGTCC